TCAACTGACGTAAGTGAGAAAAATGACTCAGTGTATTCCTAACTAAGTACCTATCAAAGCTGCATAACCCGCCTCCAATTATCTAAGACCGTGGAGGATGATCGCAACTGAGTACAGTTGTACTCGTTTAGGATAGATAGCAGTTATGTCTGTCCCGGAGCATTTTAGGCAGGATGGCTACAAAGTACATACTAGACCATCTGAGATCAAAAGCCTGTCTCCCGGCACTTGGTTCAGAGGAGAAACTGAGGAGGGATTCTCAGTCCTAAAAATATGTTGAGAAGTACGTAGTGTCACCTACAGTCTAGTGATCAATTTCCGTAAACCAAAGGCATACACAATCGAAACGTGGCCCATTTACGCAAATAGGTGACACGGATAAAAGAACAAGTAAAGCTATGAGCGGTATGATGGCTGTGATTGCCAAGTTTGGCCACCGTTTTGTAAAATGGAAAAATCGTGTGCGAACCTACGACCATACGAGAACTTACAAGATGAGTTTTCGTAACATAACTGTCATACAGAGAATGTACAATGGTGTTATAGTTATGGACAGAACAACATCAGCAATAATGAATGTCAATCGGGTCTCATCCCCAAAGGTGGCCGGTAGTGTCATTAATGGTGCACAAAAATCTCCTCACCATTTCAGATAGCAACTGACTATATTACGTTTTGCCGTTGATTGGATTTGGAGCAGTGCTTTCCTGTGAACTCCATCCAAAGGTGGGTAAGATAGCTTTTTTGGAAAAGCTTGACAATTTATCCCTCAAATAGCAAGTTATAGCCGCATTGAGAGATTTCAGTACAAACTATGTGACCGATATTTAAATGCAACAAACTGCGCGTGCCCACTTGCCATTCACTGAAATTTTCATCGTTGGATGTGTCCGGGCTTACAACACAATATGTGACCTGAAAGAGGTCATACCACTATTCTATGAGTAAAGATCTGACGAATTTGAATGATAACGATGGAATACTCGAACAAGTGCATGGCTAGATGATGTGGTTAGTCTGTCTCCCATCCTAAACAGTGATCCGGTAACAGTTCCGGTTGTCTAGAACACCTGAAACATCAATCAAGAGCGCCTTTTCACACAATATCATGAACGTTTGAAAACTGCTAGACAGTTTTCCTAAGTTGTAGGCAGCAGAAAGTTAGTCAACTTGGTTGTTGGACAATAGGATAAAATATGTGTCCAAATGGGTATAAGAAAGGCACTAGGTTAAGTGCACGTGTATGGCAGACCCGTCCTGTCCTGTTGTAGTTAAGCTGTTTACTTCCTGGTGAAACAACCCCAGCTGAACAACAAACTTTAAAACATTTTGATGAATCGATTTGCTCCGAGCCTCTCAATGCGTGCGCCAGATATGTAGCGGCAATAAGACTTATCAGGTCACTAATCATAACTTCCGTTTTCCCTTTAACTCAAAATATTAGATGCTCACGTGCAAACCAGTCACTCCTGTATGGCAGCCGCATCATTTATATGCATGTTTTATTGATGATCTTATTCGATTTTAAGTTGCGTCGTGACTTTCCACGGCCAAAGCTTCTCATTCTATTAAACAATATCAACTGACGTGCTGAGAGTTTTGGGTCCGACCCAAGGGTTATCCTCTTCCCTTATCATACAGTTTACATCATTTATGGCTTCTTGGCATTTTATCGTTTCCAGACCAAACTCTGAATCCCCCGTCAGTGTTCTATATTGCTATGTTGTTTAGTTGTTGTCACATTGCTGTGCCTATTGCACTCAGTAAGTCGTACAACCGCAGGTTCCTTTAATACACCAATCCACATGTTTACTGATCAACTGCACGTATCAAGCGCATGACAAGAGAAAAGTAGGATTACGGTAGATCATAACTGAGTATGCAGTTTGGTGAATGGCTAATGTTTTTGCAGAAGACCGATTGATTGTTCATGTGACGGGTTTAATAACGTATGTATGAAATTCCCATTGAGAAATGGGAGTTTGCGCTGCATGATGAAAAGTCTGAATGACATGGTTTTTTTTCATTTTCCCGTTTTAAACCCAAAAGGGCCTCAGCCGTTTGATGAACAACTGATTTGAATACTTCAAATGGGAAAGTGTTCTATGACCTTTTCGACATGTTTGGTCTTATTGATCTCATATTTCTTCCCTTTTACTTGCGTGATGGTAGTGCGTGGTTTAGGAATGGCTCGAATTTGTCCCAACGACAGTCTAAAAGTTTTGAACTGGACTAGTCATGTCTTTTCAGCGGTAGAGGAATCCCCAAGGGTTCAACAACCGTGCGATCCATACTGCACCATAGATCGATACTTCATAGATTGCAAGAACTACGTTCCACAACAGCGCATTTTACTGAAAGCGACAGTATCGCTTCGATAGTTTGTAGGATAAAAATCACGTTTTCCCTTGAAATAGTATCTAAATAGGAGGGAGGCAATCTATATCTTCTAACACGTCAGGCTGGTGTCACAGATGGATTACCAGGTGCGCAGCTTACGTGGTACCACACTAAATCCAATTGAGTATGATTACTTCCGGTCTTCAGACTAATCACCCTTTGGTTTGCTTTTTCTGGATGTTTTCTCCGGATGACCAGCGTGATTCATTTCACAAGACTGAGGAAACATTAGCCGCACCTGTTGGCTGAAGAACTGCTTGGCTGGGAATTTGCAAAGGGTATCAAGGAGGCAATGCATCCACAAGTGATCTTATTTTAATGTGCCTGCAAGCATGCTCACTCAATTTGAACCGTGAAATCCACACAGATAGTGCGAAATTAAACTACTCGGAATGTTGGCTACGGTCTGCGCTCAAACAGTGATCCTCTTATTAGCTGGCTGTCATTCAATAACGAACCTTGGACAATAAGGATATGCTCAAATACTTCGTAGAATATGGCTGTACATCCGTAAAAACTAAGCATGTCAGTGACATGAAAGTTATAACCCAAATAGAATTGTATTTGCTTCTTTGAAAGACTACGTTTGGTTAACATTGATGGCCAGAAATTTGGCCTAAAAATGTGCCATTTATAGTCTCTAAACTTAAAAGCTGTATACGTTAGGAACCATTTAATTTTTCACTAAAATGTTTTCAAGTTTGGTAAACTGATTTGAAACCAATGTTCTCAAAAAGCTCAAACGGTTTGAAGTTTTACAGTTACAGTTTTGTCCCGGTATACTGTATTGGCTGATTAATTAGGTTCTGCAGTGAAAATAATTTTGTGTGAATTAAATACTCGTGGAAAGGGTAAACCGACTGTGCCTTAATTCTTTGTAGGCAACGTTGCCGCAAGGCTCCAAACGTGTCACCATCTGAGGGGTAGTAGCTGATTGAAGTCCTAAAAAACAATGTGGTACAGGAGAGAAAAGAATTGTGCTTTGTAGTCTTTAACCAAGCGAGTTTTTTCTGCCTTGTAGAGTACTTTTATTACTTCATCAACAACTCATGCCAGCGTGTTGTCTTACCCTCAAGTATGGTTCATCGGAAGACAAAAAATACTACACGATAAAAATGATCGCTTATCAAAAAAAGACACTATCATTTAAAGCGTAATTCGTTTTCAGAGGAATCCTACCAGTTATCAACATTATTCGGTGTGAAGTTGGTTGCAGTCCCCTCAATTTTACGCATTTTTAGTTTCGTCGAATATTGTAAACCAAGTACACGTCCCTGACAAGTGGCTCTTCTGTGGATCTTGACAAATTGGGATGAAGTTTACTCAAGGAAATCAATTTGCCAGCTTTCTGAGGAACGGAGAAGTGAGTTTAATGTCACCTCTGTTCTGTCTTGAACCGATTCCTTTGGTAAGAGATTTTCTGGCATTTTTCACTGTCAAATTCTCTTCTGAAAGGCGATTAATTCCTTTAACCAAAGTTAGCCGACTGAACCACAGTGGAGCAGGAAGTGTATGCCCGAACCCTTGGGACCGTAATGTTTTACAATACTTTCGGGACTACCCGGTCAATCATTATCGAGTGGTTGAATTTTCCCAGGTCGATGGTCAGTGAGTGAAACTCATTAGCATTTATGAAACTCGTCTGATCCACTTGGGTGTCACAGAGCAACCCGGGAAAAGTGAAGTAATTGGGATACCGACACTCAAATATGCCCCGTCATAACGAGCACTATCCGCGCATTTATACAAGGCTAGCCCAACAACCAGTGCAGAGGTCTAATGAGCTGAAAAAAGGGACCAAACTCCGCTCTTGGTGTGCTTTAAAGTGATACTTGTTCGCAGGCTTTTAGCTTTCTTATATACTAAATCGATATTTCTGGAGCAATACAAGAATAAATGAATCGCTCGCGAATCTCTAAGAAATGCATTAGGTGACCTTGGAATGGTTACTCACACGCATGTGAAATATGGAAATATTCGTTCGGCAAAGATGTAATGGATGAGCAAGAATGAAGCTGCGACATAGTAAAAGTACATAGGGTTGTTCTATGCATTCACTTGAAATTTGTTAAGACCAAGTGGAAAACAAGCCTAACAATATTGATGACGTTCACAAACGGCCGAAAAAAGTCCTAATCATTGTGTTTCAGGTTAACCCTCAGTCAGTTGTACTGATTCCCCCACAGAGCGAATTTTTCGCGCAGTGAAATGATGTTCGTCAGTCTCATGAACCAGAAAACGAGGAAAATTTTTTATTGCATAATGAATTGTGACGTTTTCTAATAAACTCATCCTCCAGATTTGCTTGGCGTTGAAAGTCACAAGGAGTCAAGAAGTGTTTTATTCTAGATTACTTTGCCCAATTTATTAGTCATTTAGGGCAAGGTGAGAATTTGACTTGACATTTTGGCAACAGCAGAAAAAATGTACAAGCATTTATCAAATTATTGTCATTTTTTTGTCAAATCTTAAAACTTAGGCTCATGATATAGCGGAGAGGGAAGCATTCCTTCCCTTGTTACTGATTGTGAGGAGTGGTCCCGTTGTGGAAAAATCTCAGGTAATAAATGTGGATATTTGTTGGAGTTTTTATTTCTCAGCCATTGATGAAGAACTGGCCAGAATTTCGTATGCACCACTTTCGCAAGCCCCGTCACGAAGATAATGGATCTTACCGTGATGTGACGTCTGCGTTTCTTCATGACCCACTGAACTATGATGGAAGAGGTCCGTGCGACGCTCGCAGGGTTTCTCTTTCTAGGTTCGTCAAAGAATAGAGGTCTGACTAAAAGTCTCGTAACCGCCCTGGAACACGTGTGGCGAGTAATTCTTAAAAATTTCAATACGCTGGATTTTCCCACCAAACATCACTCTCTTGCGGTCAGTCTTCTGGGTTAAAGGCTTCTGCGGAGGACCCTTGTTGCACTTCTAAATGCGGGCACCTGGCAGCTTTTCATGCTTACGACAGTGAAACATCACTTTTGAACAGCGATATTATGCTCTCATTGATGATAATGGTGATACTTTCCATCAGCATCATCATCATCATCCGAAACATCCGAATCATCATCATCATCATCATCATCATCATCATCATCATCATCATCATCATCATCATCATCATCATCATCATCATCATCATCGTTACCATGAGTCTTAACAGACTGGCGATCACATTAAGCACTAATAACTGTTCAGATGTTACCGTGAACGGAATTTGCTTGAAATACGCACCTGCTTATCCCTCCAATAGGAAGCGTATCTATATCACTTGGCTAATTCTAACCTACTGGGAAAGTTTTACCCACACGATGACACTACACTTAAATCCTCGAAAAAGCTTTTACCTTTGTCTACTGTCCTCAGACAAGTAGTGACATCAGACTATGAAACAAATGGCCTGTTGCTTTAGTCGATATCTGCATGTAAGTTAAATCGTTCGCCAACAAGCATAAAAATGTCACATAGCATTATTAGCAATGTAAACTACATAAATGGTTGGCCAGCATCCATTAGGGATGTGGTTTTAAGTGGAAGGTAGATGAATGGAAGTTCGGCATCGCGAAAAACTCTCCGACCAGAGCTGAACGTGGAATATGCATAAAATGGTTTTCTCGAAAATCGGCGCTCAGTAAATAGTAACAACAAATACTATTGGTGATTTTCAACTGTATCAGTCGTTACTCATCCGTTCGCATATTTGGTGCTGTTTAATTCGTAAATTTATTGTCAAGCTGATTGTTATCTTTGCTGAACGTTTGACGCAAGAGAACTTAGTGAATAAACGACGATCATATTTCTTCGTTCAGGCGTAAATTTCATTACTTGCTCATCCGTGGTGTGCACTAAGCGGAATAAGTGCATCATTAACATAAAATGCGCTGCTGAAATTGCAAAAAAATTGGATTGAAACCATCTTAGTGAGAGATTATTTTGAAGCTGTACCCTTGTTTCGAGGACATCACGTTCGTCGGAACAGCAGTTGACATGGCATGCGAAACGAATTGTCTGCTCACGGTTAACCAGGTCGTCTGACCAAGTTGAGAATTCATCTACAAATCTCACTGCTCCAAACTATGGTATGACTTGGTATTCTTCTACCCAATATGCTGCATAAAGGCCACTATTTCAGTGGGCATGTCATCCGAGATATCAGTGTATAATTCCAAGAGCTCACATACTAATTAGGGTTCTCCAAGAGGTTTTAGTAACCTGTGATTTGTATGCTATATCGAGAAACACAAACTCTAGGATTAGGAAACCCAAATTATTACGTAGTGCTATAAAAATACGAGCCTCCTTTAATCATTACCATAATAAAAATGAACTATTATTTTCCAGTGGTGTATAAAATTACAAGTTTAGGTTCAACAAGAATACCCTAGTAATTATGACTCTCGAACACGCCCCATTATATCTTTGTGTTTCGTCTACTGCGCACTTTTAAATGTCGCTGATCTCTGAGTTATGGATTCTGTCTGAAATAACCTTTATTTGTGCCAGTCGTAAATTGCGTTTAGCTGATACGTTTGACGCATTTCAGATCAGCAGTGGGGATAGAGTTTCAGTTAGAACGATAGCCTTTGTGCTTATTGATCGTTGATAGACATAATCGTCTGTGAAATCCCCATTACTTCCTTCGAGTGCCTCAGATTTAACTCATGGGTGGTTTGCGTTGGTGACCTGTTGATCGGCAGCACGTGCCGTATTCGTCTGTGCCTAGATGATTATTCTACAAAGTGAGGGGTGTTCTTCATGTCTCGAAACCTCTAGAACCAGACGCCTCTTCCCTAATATATATTCAAGCTAGTTTTAGAAAATGTCAGTATGGTTGTTTAGTCGGACAGAGGTATGGAGGATCTGACTAACGAGTTAATAGTAAACTTTCAACTCCCTGCTGCTGCTCAGTTAACATACGGGTCAGCCATCTCATTCTAGTGACAACATGTATGAAGTTTCCGATCAATCCATGCACAATTTTGTCTTCGTTAACGCTAAGCAATACCCATTTGGCAGTGTTATAACTAGGTTCAAAACTTTATTGTCTTAGTTGTGAAAATAGCCTGCTTAAGGTTGGAGTTCAGTTTTAGAGTCTATTTGATTGGTTATCCGTTCTAGTACCCTCCTCGGAACTGAGTGTAGAACGACTGAAAACGACAGTAGTATCCGCCGGAGTAAAACAGATCTCATCAACCTCAGACAATGGCGTGTTGGAAAGTAATAAATACCTTAATTCGACGGCTTACTCAATTGATCCACTGAGCTGTCCAACTTGGGTGCCTACGCTTGTCTGAACAGGGACCAGTGCTGATTGCTTGTGCCTTGTGACTTGGTGTGTGTCAGCTTCATCAAGGTTCAAAACTGACTTCGTGGGCTTCTCTTCCACCAAATCAACGGGAATTTGACAATTAGTCATTGATTTTGTAGCGTTCTCTGCGATGTGGAGAGAGATCTTCCCAACAGAAGAATCCTTTGTGGACTTTGACCTTTCTTTCGAAGCAGGCTAGAAAGCAGGAAAAACATGAGCGACTCTCACCTTATATTTTACTTCGCTTCACCAAACGGTGTGTGACCTACAGATTAATATGGGATGTGGTAACAATCCTATTGTCACTTGACTCCTTTTCACTAAAGGGAAATACACAGTGAAATGATGAAAAGCTCAAAACTCGCTATCTATCGAGAATATGGACGGTGATCCGTATCTCACATTCTATGTGACTACGGTTACATTATTCTCCAAATTATGCGCTATCATAGGTAAAAGCTTGTATTTTTTCTGCGGTCAATTGAAAACTTTGGGATAAAAACGAAATAATGACTACTGTCATGTTTTTTGGCATGATGATCTTCGTGCGAACAAATCTTACCATCTTCAAGTGATCTTCCTCAGTCAGTTTGCTTCCCTCTCCAATACTACGAACGTTCTTTGTGGGCGGTTTTGGGTTACGGTCACAAGGGATGGGCAGTTTTGACCTCCGTTCGCATGGAAACTTTGTATTCTCCGTTTGACTTTGAGCAACGACCCTGTTGCTCAAAATCATAGAAGGTTCCGATTTCCGTTGATGACTCTTTAACTGGGTACAGTTTCCCAAGTCTGCGGAATAGTTCTGTGGCACCGTAGTCCAAGTTTGATCAGAGCGACGCTGATTTTGTTGAGCTCTTTTATTTTTTGTTTGTTCTGTGCATGTGGAATAATGTATTACTGACTTTGGACGGTTCCAAAGCGATTCTAAGTGTTCTGAGCACACAGGAGCTACAGGAACATTCTTTAGATCACCTTTGGCGGTGACAATTGGCCGTATATCCATTGACGGACCAAAACCTGTTGGTTTCACACAATCCCGCTGATGCTCTAGAGGAACACTATCATAGGCATGTCGGTGCATCTGGACACACCTGCATCTGGATGGGTTTATATGTTGCGCTGGCTGAACTTGAGCAACCGGCCGTGGATTCGTCGGTTCGTGTACCGGCCGGTCACCTGATATACCCTTCGGAGAATTAGTCAACGTTGATGTTGAGCGGCCCAAACTGTAAATATACGGAAGCAGTAGACAGAAAAATGTGAAGCTCGTAAATTGGCGCTCTTGAGACTCTAAAACATAACATAGAACCTGGAGTCAGTTTCGGGTGATGAAATTCACGACGAAGGATGATTTCAGTGGTTCTACTCACTGCGTTGCAGACCTCCATACTTTATAGTTTTGAATCCTACGGTTTGAAATTCTGTGTGTTGATATCACACATAGTAAATGTTTTGTTTATTTATGAGAAAGTACCGAAACTGATCTGTTTTTTATCGCTTCAAGGCCATGCTGGAAAGCACCTAGTGGATCGACAGAGTTTCACTTCGTCTGAAAGAAATCTTCGTTGTTTTCCCTCCGTCTGTTCCCGTCGGATGTCACGTAATTCGTTGGGTTTTTCACTGTTCTATTTTCCAGCAGTAAACTTACTGGATACATTCTCCTTTCTGTCACAGAAAATTCAATCATCCTATTACTGAAGGTCATTTTGTGTGACCGATTTACGTCATGTCATGGCAAGGTAACATAAAAACGGCGTAAAAAATGGCTTGATCAAGCAGAAGGAGTGACGATGGGCACAAATAGCATCATGTATAGACTGCACATAATTGAATATAAACAAATCCTCGGAGGGGGTTATGCACGATTTCACAAATCTCGGTTTCACTTGTTTTTTATTACAACACCATGCTATTTCTTTAAATTTGACGGTTTAACTGACATGCCAATCGGACCTGGTCGCATTCATTGCACACGTGTATCAACACCGATGTTGATTTCCACGCCAGAGCCTCATTGGCTTTTTAGTACTCAACTGTCTGACATACATTTCTTAGAACTGGTGCAACTGTGTTTTTGTCCCTGTTTTTTAGACCATCCTAAGCAGGTCCACATTTCTCTCCATGTTTTATAACTTTTGAAGCGCAACGGAAAACCACATGATGTGGAGGGGATCCCAGTCTTGCTTTTCCGATACTCTAGGACGCTTAGTAAGCTAATAAAACGAAAATTCATACCATTTAAAGAACGTACGTCAAATTTTGCGTCAAATGTAGACGTATACGTTACCAATCTCTCCAAAACGTTTCTGTGCAAAGCGCACAAAAATAGGCTTTTTGCTGGCAAGCAATACTCATTCAATAAACACTCAATCTCAGCCCATACACTTTTGTGAGCAGTCCAGGACTCTATAACCAATGTACGGTGATGTGGTGGAATGTAGATAGCTTGGGTGCGCTGCCTGATTGTTTGTCCGTTCTCCAACCTTGGCAGTTGGATTGTAAACGGCTAATTCTCAACCGAGGTGACGTTGTCAGTGCTGGGTTGGATGATGTCAGTTGGATCTGGGACGAATAATTAACAATCCTTGTTTCAAGCTCGGCCAGATGACCAACAATTGAACATTGACTGTCCTTTTTCACTAGTATGAACTGATACCCATCAGGTAGTCTTATCTACTCAGTAAAATACACGTCTCCCTGATGACAGCACTCGGGAGTACTTTGTTAGCACAACGCCGGATAACGGCCCGTCACAATCCCTTCAAAGCAAGCAGATTACAGTGACACAAATTTTATTTGATAATACCAAATTCTTAGTTGGCGGCACGGTGTAACGAACACTGAATCACAAACTTTAATACGTATAAGTGAAAGTTTTCATGGAACAATGGACATATTTTTCACTCCAGTGCGCCACGCAAGTAGGGATTACAAAAATGCATAGACATTCTGGAATCCTGCGCCTGATGGCCGATATCTCTGGATCTCCGTAACAATGAAATTCTCGATAATGTTTCTACCGAACCGAGGAGTACCCAAATCACTGCTCCAATGACGTTGGCTTCACACGATTTTAAATCTCTTTTAGAAAAGATTACTTCCATTAAATTGATAAAATTAATATGGTTGTACTAGGCAGAATGGTCTACGCCCAGGACTTCTTTTGAACGGCGTATCTAGAACAATAAGTTTGCACACAACCAATGTGTAGCTTTGTTCCAAGGTACATATTGTAAAAAAATGAATGATGTCACAATGGCAGACCGTAGGAACCGGTGCTCGCAGACATTTTAATGGGCTAACCGGATCAAAACCTCCATGACAGGAATGTAAGCATGGCAACACACTAAATTTAAATAGCACCGATAATGACCAATTTGTAGGATTATATTTTATACCAAACAGTGCTAACAAGTGGCTGCTATTCACAGATAAATAACGAAAGAACTACAAACTAGCTCGTTGGTTAAGCAACGCGTGGATAAATCTCTAACGGCCTCTTCGTAAAAACCAGTTAGATGGCGCAGTTTTTTAGAGTTCAGCTTTGCTCCATCAAAAAGTTCGTGCCGCAGTAAAGAGCTCACTCAACAGGCTCATCTGCGGTTTAACCCTCAACAGCGTCACAAAAAGTTCATATACCTGAACTGAGAAAAGCTATTCATTGAGACTTATGCAGTCATGGTGCAGCCATTAACTACTGCAAAAAGTCAGTCCATCTGCCGCTGCCATCTGGAAGAGAAATCTTGCTCTTGATTAAACGCCGTTTAGTTGCAGTGAACACACATGCCTACTATTGTGCTGTTTCTACCTTTTGCCAGCAAAATATGTGCACTCCAAGCCCACCTAAAACGATCGATTCGTCTCACTCACCAAATTCAACTTGTTGATTTTTCGTATCTATTGGTCCCTGTCTACCGTTGGGACTACCAGTTGCATGAAAACATGAACATCGGGTGCGTACTGAACTGCCGGGCTGGAACTTACTCACACTGTTCACACGCAGCTACCAATAAGCGTCATATAGATGTTGGTTACACTGCGGGTCCAAAGACGTTTTCAGTGTTTTTTAGGCTGAATAAATAATGGATAGTGGGACATACATCCTCTTGATACGGTTTCGTAGGAATTCAAGTAACCACTGACTAAAATTTTGTTGAAATTCATTCCATTTACTTGTGTTGTCCAAATGTGTATTCTTCGTAGGCACTGAACTTCATTCCTTTAGCAATGACCACATTCTTTGGATTATTAGCATAACTGCACATCCGCCACTGATCTTCTCCGCCAATCATTGGCTAACCAATTCAGCTCGGAGTTTACCGCTCTGCTTCAGCGACACACTGTTCCAGTCTTTAAAGTCAATCTTGGAAAGTAGCATGGCTTTGGGAAGCCTTGTTAGTACTACTTCTTGTATAAAATGCTCGCCCAATATTAAAAGACTGTTAAGCACAAATGAGCTATCCACGTCCAAGATGGCCTTAGGGTGGTTCTCGAGCATGGTTACTCTCCATTACAGTGGTTCCGTAAAATTGTAACAAGTACAAGACGGTCAAAAAATATGCAAGTTTCGGAAAGTTTCCTACCGTTTTGAGCAAAAATACATACTTTTGCTTTTTAATGATGGAGAACTGTGTTCTTCATGTTCCCTAGTAGCGTTACGATAGATCGTAATAAACAATGAGGTGCTTAAGTGCGTCGTCTAACGATGACCGGCAGTTTCGTTCTCCAGAACAGACTAGAGTTTACCACCCAACGGGTACTGATGCTTGCCAGTCAGTATACACACCTTGGGAATGCAGCACAGCTCTCTAGCCTCACACTTTCTGTTTAGTCTGTCCCGTTGGGCTGGTGGACGGTGATTATTCGTAAAGGACATTGGAGTTTTTGCGGAAAATTACTGAATGGCACCAAGCAAGGCGAAGTAAACCAGCAAGTTTCAAACCTTTTTCGTCTACCGCAACAGTTCTTCACTTGTTAGCGTACCTACTCCTGGGAAAACATTTTCATTATAGTACTTTTAAAACTTGCATGTCGCCGCGAGAATCCTTCTCATTAACCATATGGCTTGAATGGGGTTTGGCTACCTTTCTTCCTAGTAGCACAACTTCATCAAACATAGGCTATCAAGAAACGGTTTTAATCAATCATTTGTATCGCTTGTTAGCTGATGTGCAATCACAATTGAGAAAACTGTAACAAATATCATCTTCGGTTGGTCTAATTTCACGTCTTAGCAGGTTTAGGGCCAAGCAAGTACGTTCACCTTGTCAGTATATTACCTTGTGCAACGAAAAGCGATTCTGTGAAATGATTGACCGGAATGTGCTCAGAAGCGTATATATTTTGATTCATAGCGAGAATGTGACTGGCTTCCAATAACTTCAGATACACACAATGGCCCAAGTGTAATCACCGGTTCTCAAGAGTGCATATTTCAGACGTTTCACCTTAGATTATGCTGTCTGCACTAATTTTAGGGAAATGAACCTAAAGTCAATGGGTAGTCTGGGAATTTGCAAATTCGATGAATGCGAAAAAGGATAAAGCCGACAGTGAAATGTTGGAGAGGTTTCATTAGTAAATTATTACGTTGAGAAAATATACTTTGAATATCATGTCAGTTAAAACATGCGACAGCCTTTGTGAAGCTCGTCCATTGAAGAAAATATCTTCAAACGCGTGGTTCATTTTTGTTGAGACCAAAGTAGTACTCTTAATGCATCGTTGTCGACTTCTTCCTGTCAACCTGACCAGTGAACCCAATTGCTGAGGTTTTCTGCAGTGAATTCAGCAAAGTTATGGTGATCAAAAAGAATATATATACTTGTCTTTCGACATTTTTTAACAATACGAAGATGTTACCCGGCTTCTTAGTAGCCGGCCAAGGCCTATGCGCCAAGTGGTCTGCATTTTGTCAGGGTTATTTTACGGTAATGGTTACGAAAACGGCTCGGTTCCATAGCTTTATCGAAATTATCTCAGCATAAAGAGGCTTTATTGCGAGACACTGACACTTTGGATATAATAGCAAATACGAGAAAAACACCCAGGGACGATCGAATAATGTCGCATAGTGAGACTTATAACGAAACACAGAAAGGACCATAGAAGAGGTCATTTGTATCAGCCTTGGTAAGGGTATCTGATGGTTGTCACTTTTCAGTGTTTGTTTGGAGGAGTTGCCAAGTTCAACGGTCAGTGATTAAGATGTACGCGGGCGCTAATGAACTCAGAGGAAACCTACCGTTGACCCAAATGTCTCAGTAAACGTGCTTCCTTGGTCTAGATTATGATAGGATTGGACCACTGTGTACCTATTTTAGTGGGTACATCACCAAAGATATACGATGCGATTTCATACCACGTACCTGCTTGAGTGACCTCGATAAAGAACTTTTTCTGATTGCTAGAGAAAGCGTATCTGTGGATCTGACTACAGTGGATGTGCGTGACTTACCCGCATGTCGAGAAAACCGTGTGCATGTGTTGTCAACCCCACAAGCAATGCTGGTGAGTGACTGGAACTAGGGAACGATGCACATGCATGTATGTGTGCGTCTAGGTATGTGGAAAAGTTTGACAAGTTCAAGCAGTTCTGACAAATACACTCATTTGCAAATCATATTGGTCTTCACGGAAGACTCAAGCGAATCTCTCGTTTATAATGTTCATCAACTGAATGTGCTGCACAAAGGCCACCATATGTTTCAGTTGATACGATATCCGCCGTATCGCAGTATATTTTCATAAATTTTGTTGAAAACTCTTCGACAACCCACGACCGGTTTTGCCCTTCTTGGGGCTCATCAGGTGGGTGAGTATCGTACCAACCAAAACAAGGGGCAAACTTTGTGCAGCACATTCAGTTGAAGAGCATCGTATTGAAGCGGTTCTACTCAGCCCGCACGTCTGAGGCACACGAGGCGCGTTGGATAAAGGAGGATCTATGGTAGTGGTGGTCAGAACCTGACCAAGCACTATGGCGCCCGTTTATGGCCACCCGACTTGACACGGCCATCAAACGGAACTTAATGCAGGTTTTAAACCAAGGAGTTGATACGTACTCCGCGAAAACCACGGGTTCAATTAATTTAGGATGAACGTTCACCAGCCTCATTTCTGTACGAAGCGTGCCGAGAATACCAATGAATCAACGCATCATTACTAACAGGATCATATAAAGCATCCGTCGTTCGCACGGTCAACAGTTATTAGATAGAATTCAGAGGAACATGAAGTAAAGGATTTTATGGTGTTGGTTAATTCCCGAACAGCATGAACATCGTCATTCTAAAACGGTGCGCCTGCAGGAACTTAGATCTCGTTGCCCCGGCCGTGGTCTTGGATATTGTCAATTGTTGGTTCACACTGATCATGCTGCATGAACCTAGTTGAGCGATGATGTTGCATTTAACTTCAACATTTGGGTTGCACAGAACATCACAGAATTCACCGCATACTCGGACGCACACGTACAAACATGCACACGGTCCCCTGGTTCCGACCGCTCACAGGTTGAGGTTGAGGTTGAAGACTATGCGTACGGTTTGCCTGATTCTCAGTGGGGTCGCGTAGGTCGGCTGGAAACTCAGATACACATGAACAGAGGTTGGGATTATTAGCTACTAATTACCTAGTGATTGACAGTTCCACCAGTCACTCAACTTTGTCAGTCATGAGTTGCGCGGTTTGAAAATTGACAGTTGTGCAACCCGCATGACCTTGAACACAGGAACGCTTTTAGTTTATTTTTTTGCTTATTCTAGAAAACGGGCTTTTGTGCCACCTGCCTGTTATTATGTTATGTTATTGAACATGATAATAGTAGTCTCGGCACCGGCACACCTATACTTCACCGTCCTCTATATCGTTTTTAGCGCTACCTTCCACTATCCGCAAACTACTTTTGAAACTTTCTGTAAGAAGTTTGAAAACACCTTTAGTGGTGATAACAACTTTTCTAGAACCATTGGTTTATTGAAGCATTTTCTACTTCGTGAGTAGCACCAAAAGAGTGATGACATGGGATAACTAAACTTCCATGATTGAAAGTTACTGACTGCATTGTGTGCAAAACTCTCAAGCAAAGTAACAATCTCTAAATTTTGTTGAGCGGCGTTATCTCCGAACGGAAATCTCTCAGAGTATTGTGCACACATATTACTTTATTAGGTAGCAACATTAGGTTTCCGTATAGATAAGAGCTTGCTCAGTTTTTAAACTAATGACATTTTACGTTTTAACTCTGACGAACTCAGTAGTTAGCCTTTGGAGTGCCACCTTCGTGCACGTCGTTACCAAAATTTCCATTAGCAATTTTGAGCCAACTACCATATAAACACATGATAAATGAAGCGTGCAGCGCAATATTAACTGCGCAAATATGCTTAACATGGCATATTAATCATGTAGTTCATGGTTATAATTACCCGTTTTTAAGTAGCGCGGCTACATCAGATAGGCCGTTGTAGACGAGTGTATTACACTCGAACAGTACTGCTACACCTCCTGAATACTCACTTCGCATTGTTCAGGTTGGTTTGTTCTTTCAGTTCACAATTTACACTAGAACTCCGGCTCATGCCTCTTGGTGGCATGTGAATTTCGTTGAAATGAGTCCAGCTTTCTTGTGAGGTGTGTTGTGTTCGTTTCTCTGGACACCTGTCCAACTGCTTGGCCTCGCAATCCAAGTTTGAGTAAGATGCACGAACTAGTAATGCCGTACGTCCTAAAGTGGGTGTTCTTGGACGACGTACAAAAACTTCAGCTTGGGGTGGATTCTGTGGCGGACAAGATTGCCGAGGATATTTTGTATTACTCGAGCCCGGAGCGGCATAATTGGGTACGATACAGATTAGCTGGTGAGTGCTTTTAGGTGTGCTGTGTGTGGGTCTTGGTGGCCTTTGTGTCGACTGGCGATAGCAATTGGTCTGACTGGCATCAATTTTGTCTGACTCTGACTGACAGCACACTCTGTTTGATGACTCGTTGACCTCTTTCTGGGTAGCTGATAGTTCAAGATGCAGTGGGGGACGAAGGCTTTGTTCCACAGAGTAAGGAAGACAACTTCAGGAAGAAAGACATATGGACATGCAAATATTAAATGTGTTGTCTAGCTGTATTTCATAATGAATTGCCTGCAGCACAAATCGTGAAATATAATGGGGTCTCGTTTCAAAGTATGTAGGCAAAATTTTCATTGCATGAAAAACCCTTCAGAGTTATTGGAAACCTAAAGAAGGATATGCTTACGCTACCGATGCAAGTTGCAGGAACTTAGAACGTTCTTAACCACAGTCGCTTCCGTTGAATTTTCGGAACACTGACGATGTAAGCAAAAGCTGATAGTTGTCCTGTTCAAACCGCTCCATAAAATATCACGAAGCTAAACTCGTCAAACCGTTTGAGTCTGACTCGCATCTTCCTTAACAAATTCCTCACCTGTGATTCACAATTCACTTGACCTTTTAAAAGCTCTGAAGCCAAATTGCTTCAAAGATGAACTCAGACTTGTGAAACATATTCAGGTAAATTCAGCTACCGATTAGGAAGATAGTATGGCATACTGCAAGTATACTGTGACGTAACATGGTTTGCCGTAGTATATCTTACTGTAACAGAGTTCATTATGGTACTGTCTATTATACTACCACATAGTGTAGTTTGGTTAGGCGTGGTATAATATGAAAGCCATTATATGAAAGCCATTGGTATGGGACAGTTTCCAAGTGCAAACGGGGCGTCAGTGGTGTCCAAATGTCTGGTAAGTTTCCAGTAAAATAATTTCAACGAAATTGATTATGGTGTCTGGTAAGGTGAAAAACGACAGGATGCCAAAATTAGCTCATCTAATTTTGCCATTGGCTCTGTAAATCCGTAGAAGTTTTGCACGCTACATCAGCTCGGCAATGACCTGCATAATATCTTAAATGACGCCAGCGAAGATGAAAATCCAGTTCATGCAACCTTATCTTATTCGAACTGTCTTTCCGACTCGGAAGATCCCGCTCATCACTGACCAAATTGTCATTACAAAAGGGCTTTTGCGAAGTAATGTAAGCGATTGAGAGTGGAGCCACTATTGGTCCGTCCGCTGATAATACTCCGTATTCGGACGGATCTGGCGTGGAAGTACACAACAGACACTGATTTATTGCATACATATGCAATAAATCATTGCAACCATATGCAGTTATGGTTCAATTATGCTGAGCCCTCTTCACTCGGGAAGTTTATTGTTTTCCTGTCAGTTGCCATGACTTCTCTGGTCAAGGTATAGAATCGAGCGAAAAATGCATGAAAAGCATGTTGATTCACCAAGAAGGTTGGTTTAACACTAACAGCTCAAACTCAGAGATGGATGAACTGAGTGAATCCATTTTTTGCAGATTGCAGTAGCGGACTACGATTTACGGACCACCTTAATAGCCACTGGCTTAGTCTAATGAGGGTGCTAAAGCATGTTCAATAACTGGATTCCTTCGACTTCAACGAACAAGTGTTGAGTGATTTACAGTCAGCGCTTAGAACCGATAGCTAGTGGGAGTATATAATTCACTGAAAATTAGTTTGTTCTGGCATCTTAATACTATTTCTTGTGTTTGACAATATGCATGTGACTTTACAGATTGACGTGAGTCAACCTGAGGAAAACGAAAAACTTCTGGTTTAGAAGATATGCTTCATGACAGCGGGCAGTTGTATACACAGTTTGTATTTGTTGTTAGAACACAGCTTCTCGGGCTAAGAAATGGGCTATTAAATTTCAATCAAGTCAGCTCCGCTGGTGGGGTTTTTGAGTTACGCCAGGTGAGCTATGCCCTGACACTATCAGTAGCCGTGCGTAAAACGAAACTGACACGCAAGCATGTTTTTGGATTGCCGATAGGCTCTCGATGGACATATAGTGAATTGCTTCCTAGCAGTGCAAGTTTGTATACATTTATGCACATGCCTGTCATTTTCTCGCATGCGCTTTAGGATCCGTCTGTCATAGTAGTTATGTTGCGGGAAATCTGGACAAGTAATCTGACCAGCACCCCACCGCACCTTGATATAAGTAAACCATTCCACAGAGGACAGTTAACCTAAGTGAGAAATTAGACTGCTTCGCCTGGCGTAGTCAGGCAAATCTATGTGGAAAATCCAGAGTGGTTTTTAATCAATGATTGATCTCAGCCAAACGCGCCAGATCGGTCAAAGTCAGCTGAAACAAGAAGAACTCAAGTAAGGCAGGTGCCGCAGAGTATCATACCATAACATTACCGTAAAACGCAGGTAGGAAAACGATTTATATCCATTTCATTGCGAAAGAATCTTAGTATTTCTTCCAGTCTTTCTCGACAGAAAGGTAGCATACAAAGTGCCTTGAGCGGTGCTGGACTATTCGGATTTAGTTCCAGTGAGCGGGAACCTCACGCAAAACTTCAGTGAATATTATTTAATCTTTAGTTTTCCACCAGGTTGCAGAGTTTCATAAAGATTCCGCTATTCATTGAGATTTTCATCGAGAGAAATAATAGGTGTTCACGTGAAAAGCAAATGACTCACAGACAGCATATACGTACCTGTCATGTGGCCTTCTTTCCAACGCTATATATTTTGAAAATTCCGAATGCATAGTTGAAACTGCCTGAGGGGCTTCAAAAGCGTACGATTCGCTCGTTGCGGTGTGCTTTGTTCGGTTGCGATTTTTAGCGGAAAACCCGCGCCTGAGAAAGTTCTGAGAAAAGAAACATGAGCGACCCAAATATTGGTTAGTGACAGAAGACGCTCTCCACGTTCCTCCTTATCCAGCAGATTTTAGCTATCTTGGTGTATTACGTTATCCGTAAAACAACTGACAAACATATTACCGTCCTTTTGTTTATATTACTGCTGGGATATTCTCTTGATTCCTTCAGACTAAACCATCACTAGCCCACTCGACTGTAAGTATATGATCGAACTAAAAGATAAAAGGGAAAAGCTTGGAAAACCCAACGCAGCACCACACGTTTACAGTCTTTGGAAAATAACGTATTGTCATTTTCTGGAGAAAGTAAACAAGTAATGCTCGATAACTGAATTGCAAATGGAAATCTTTGCATGAAACGAAACATAGGATATTTTATTCGACTGATGACCATGACTAATTTTTTTAAACCTTCAGTGCAACATCATTGTTCAAATGCTTCTCATGTTTTCACTACCTCAGACTGGTTTTATATGTAGTTTTCCAGATGACTTGGAAACTGGAGGATATGGAACTAATACAGCAACCCCAGTAAGCATATCTTGTGCTTCGAGCATTGTATGTGTAATCTGCTTCACTGCTGGATAACGGCCAGTGCTTTATTATTATATCGGGAGACAGAAACAGCCACTGGTTTGCAGGTAAGCGTTGTACTGTCGAGCGACACACTTCATTTTAATATATTCCATTCTCAAGCATATCACAAGACACACTGGTCTCGGCGACACAAAATCTTAACTCGTGGTTAATGTCCAATAAAACCAGGGAGATACCGAAGTAGCGGAAGTTTGTACAGAGTCAATGAAACCACATCCAGCCTTGATATACTGATGGGTGCTATGGGCTCTAACCAGCATAATTATAGTCTTCTTCAACTCGTTGCTAGGTCAATATATGCAATTGTTTGCACAAATTTGTATTCCAGGCAGGGAACTGCACCAGGTCCGGACAAAAGTACATAGCCGTCAAAAACAAATGAATGCCAAACTTGGTTTGGTGAGGCATAGTCTTGTGGTAGCCTGCGACTTTTTTAATGATACCTCTCTTTCTATAACCATCCTTATAACAACGAAGAGTAAACTGCATTGCATTTCACCCCTAAAAGTGAGTTAAATCAAACTTTAGACCACTGCTTCCCACGGTGTCTTGCAGATATTTGGATGTATATTTCGAACGAGAAGAATTACATGAAAGTTACGTGTATTGCTGTCCTTTAGCGACCCTCACACAAACTTTACAGGTATCATTGGTGGACTATACCAAGCACTCTTTGGCCAGATGCAAATGATATTTCCATTCTTCTAGCTAGAAAAAAGGTTTTTCGAAGAGGTTGCATGCATGGACACTTGAAAGCTCTTTCAAAAGCCTGATAAGTTATATAATGGAAGATCCCAAGGCGTCAGTTAGAGTTCAAAGGAACAGAAAACTGTGGGGAACTTGTCAAATAAACTTTTCGGCCGAATTCCACACGCAAGTGCGCTTTGCAACATGTAGCCCGGTAAAATCAACGCACCTACTCTCATTGTAAAGCTAGTTTCCATACGGTATGGTATAATGACTGCCTGCTCTCCAATTTCGCATCCGTTGCATGAGATTTTGTTAGACTCGTCTTCCAAAATTTCCTGCCTTGGGATCGAAAACCACCGTTTGATGCAGAGGCGATCCATAAATAGGATGCTCTAAACTTGCAATACTTTTGCCAGACTGAGCTTCTAGTGGACTGAACAGAGTTCTGATAAAACACGCTTTTAGGTGGTATCGCAGTCGGTATTTTCTGACTTTTCAGCGCAGACTTCCTGGCGAAATTATTGTTCGAAATATCCTCATAACATTGTATTATATCACACTAAATTGCCATTATGGATGAATTGTTAGAAGCCACTATGGGTTGTGTGCTTACTTCAAATTGTTTTCTGAGCCAAATTATTTGGACGTCAGGTACATTCTTCTTTGGCAATCCTAATGCCGTCCGAAGCGTTTTATGAGAACCACACACTGAAACCATTAACATCGAACCGTAACCAACTTTTTGCATGTACATACATGCATCTGCATCTTTTGATGGGCGTGTTTGACTCAGTGAATAAAATTATCTTCCCTCCTTTAATACATCTGGTGTAACCAATATATTTAAACCTCAAATAATGATACGATTATCATTGCGTCTGCCCTTGTTAACTGCAGTTGGAAAAGAATTCCATGCTGACATTTTCTTTTGATAGAAGGGACGAGGACCATCAATTCAGGCTGAGGCGAGACCCACATCCTGTACTAAACTGTATTTAACAAAGTTCCATGTAAGTTGGGCCATATGATTAACCTCTTGCTCATCTCATGCCAGTCAGTCCCAGGTTCATCACTGTTTCGAAAAATGCCAACTACCTAGTAAGTTTTCACACACTGGATTTTACCGAAATACCACATACACTATATACCGCTTATCGCTCACCCGGTGAATTCTTTGGAAGATTTACTCTAATTCGCCCTTACTTTTCTTGCGATTAGAAGGTGGAAGAGAAATCAGCAATGGAGATCAGTAGTAATCTTTTTGCTTACCCAATGGATACTAAACTGACATAAAATTACGGCGTCCTCTGCGGCTTAGCTAGTCATAAGTAGAGTGAGTCCAAAAAACTAGTGACATCGGACCTGACAAATTCACTGCTTCGTTGATAAACCGCCTGAAGCATTGCCCAAGGTGGCTGGTAGTCTTATTCTGCGAATAATTACGCAACTTGTCAATAGACTTGAAAACACGACCGGTCTTGTTTGGGGACAGCATACAAGCCAACTGCCAAAAGTATGGCCTTGGGGAGCTGTTTTCTTAGGAAAGCGTTTCCTACGTAATTCCTTTTCCACTGGACAAACCAAAGACGATTCTTCTTAATGAATTATCTTTTCATACAATCGTCTCAGCGAGAAAACTGCAGATGTTGTTACCGACTGGTTTCTTGAAGGGCAATTCTTCAAGTAGGATCTTTAAGTAAACTACTAATCACTGTGCGTCTTGTGAATCTCATGAAGTTTAGTCTTGTAAGCTCCCGTGTAAATCTTAGGCATTATGTATTGAAAAACAAAACTTCATGCAAAACTACTCAGCGGTACAAAAAATTGGACATAAATGTTATTCATACAGTTATAGAAAGCCTTTTGACAGCCCACCACTGTTTTCACTCTGCTCAGGTAGGCAAAGTCTCTTTGTTCTCATTAAAGTTATTTTCCGCGTAATCGACAAATCGCTTACTAATAAACTGCACTTATGCCAAGCACTGATTCAGTCGGATCTCCCTTTTGTGATGTCTTCCAACGAAATTTACAGTGCAACGGCCTCGACCCATTCTGGCATCGCTTCTTTCTGTCCTTTCCATTTCTGACTCTCAATAAAACCGGAAAATTACGTGAGATCTGCTCTACATCACCAGATAGGTAATCTCCGTTACGCAAAAAGCGTTCAACATTAAACCGTGATCTAAGTAAGGGTTTGTTATAGGTTTTAATTTTATGAGAAAAAACCGTTTCAAATCCACTCACCAGAAAAGACTTATTCTTAGTTTCTGCGGGCTTCGCTTGTGTTGACATAGATTTATCCGATCCGTAGCCTCCAATCGTGCATCTTTTATTATCTGGTTTTGTTTCTTCCCTTTTGATCCTAGCATCTTCCTGTTTTTCTCTTCGCTGAGTTTGAAGATTTGATTCGTCAGTCATAAACAACGAGGCTGTTGATTTTGTAAGATTCAGGCTTGTCATTGATCCGCTAGTGTGTTCGGCTAAACCGATTCCGAAACAATGATGTGACGATGTCATGGATTGCGTATCTCTCCCAGATTTCTTCATTCTGGTAATACATAAAAGTTGGCCATACAAAGAAGAGTTTAAAAGACAGTCAATCGGGGAGCGTCACAAACGGAACTCACAGAACTGCAAAAAGTGAAGCGTACTGTGGCTTTGCAACACATCGAATACTACTGAGCATTGTTACACAAAGAAAAAAGGTTCAACCGAGGTCTAAGTCGTAATCAACAGTCTTCCGTTCTTAAAACAAGCAAGCATATCTTCCTAATATAGTGAGCTGGACTAGTTTTAATCGAGATCTTTTTCCAGTAGATAAAACCAGTCGATGTCGAAACCCGGAATACCTTATGCAACTGCTTTGCCCCAACTTTCAATCAGCTGCGGAGGGCTTCTCGTGAATCTCCAATGAGATTTGAACCCTCGATCTGCAGACCAGTGGAAGATCAGGAGCAGTTAACCGGCACTGTGAAGAACTCGCATGTACATGAACAACAGTGAATCTAATCCTTTACGCACTAAACTTACACGACACATTCACGTGTTGACTAGCTCTTTGAATGACGATTTTTCATTACATGTAAATGAACATACCTTCCGGGCTACTCTTATTTTGATGATAGTGTGAAGAGAGTTTGAAGAGGGGGAGGAATTCCTGGTTCGATGGTAGTTCTCTATCTCCTCAGAGTGCTGGTGGATCGGAAAGCTATCAGGACAATTTCGACTTTCTACTCAGCAATTCTTATGTGGTCATAAAGGAATACTAGAAGAGAATACTAGTTTGGGGGACACCGTAGAAAACTGTTCCTAAAACCAAAAAAAGAAGCTATCTATATAAGAATAAATTAGTAAAAACGGCTTCGCAAATAATGCTTATTTCGTTTTGTTCGTTTTACTCAAATGTACGGCCGAATTTGCCACTGATTACTACACATTGCACAGCTGGTCACGCATCCAAGTTAATTCTTTGCTGATGTGTGTTATGTCCTCGAGCGTTAAGTTAAGAACGTATTGGACGAAAAGGCGTGCATGTTACTCTTTAATGATGCTCAAAATAAATCATTGTAATCCCATTTGTATCCACTTTAGCATAAATTTTTAAGTCCCATTATTCATTCAAATATCATATTCCGGGAATATTTATGCCTATCTAAATATCTGATCGGATAAAGATAAATGTCTCAGCAACTCATGGGTATGATTAAGCTGTAGAGCATTTACGGATAACTTGCGCCCCTTCTTATACGTTGAAAATCGAACAGTATATTGATGCCGTTGAAAAATAATTTTTACTAACTGTTGTCGTTAAGAGACAAACCAGTTGAAATTTAAAACCGAAAGATTTCTCCAGCCCCAAAATTTACTGTGAAATAATTAGTGCAATTATTAGCCGAGGTACTACTGGTGTCACCTATTTCGCCTCTACCGTCACCAGCCTGACTAAGAGTCAAGTAGCATCACTGGAGATCTTCGAGATCATTCGTTGCCAGCCGTTTGACCTAATAGGTTTGGAAGCGACACATCTCAGAGAAATTCCAAAAATACGTTTGGCCGCTAATGTAGACATCAAAAGCCTACTAAGAGTTACCGTCAAGTTGTGATAACTCGCAAATACCCAAATGTTAATGATAAAAGGGAAGGTGGGAAATCTTTGCGGAAGGAGAATGGGAATGAATCCGTCCGATGAGATGCAGAATTTTTACCATTACCTGGGAATCACGTTAGCCTCACGACTGAGCGGCACCACTTCAGGGTGATTCAAACAATAAAGTTTTCGATGGAAAGTTTAAGGTCAAAATACCGCGTAGTGGAATAAAGTGTTATAATCCGACGTTTTGGTTACGGTGAGCAGACTTTTTCAAGCAACTCCGTTAACAAATATGTCTATTGCGGACTAACGCCACCAGAAAGCACGATCACAAAAAAGCTAACCTGCTAGGGGAATTCCAGTTCTTGGTTATCATCTAAGAGTCTTTCTGTCGGAACTTGTCAGACAAGGAGCAATCTAGGCGGACACTTTGGTTATGTTCTGCGGAAAATTTTCCCAAATGAACTGATTCTCTTGAGTGCTAGTTGAAAGTGGCTTTCAAGATCCACAAGTTGTGATCTCCAATATTTCTACTCCAAGTCACTGTCACCAGGCTTTATCATACTAATAAATTATGGGTACCTTTGTTAAAGTGATAAAGTATGACCTTATGTGAAGATAACAAGAAAGTTTGCAGGTTGCTAATGAAATTAAATGCATGACGACCTGTGGCGCACGGCTGCCACGTTAGCTGTGACACTCAACCAACTTTGACATCCGAATGCGCACATTCGATAAAGAATGACTGTTTTGAAGGCACCTGTTAGTACAGACACTGTCAACCGCAACGAGTTCCATCCAGTTTTTATGGCAATTCCAAAGTCCGGCGTACAGTGATCCCCATGAAAGTGGTCGTGCTTAAATGACTTTCTAAATGACGTTTAAATTTTCCAACTTAAGAAATTTTACTTCAGAGACATACACGATTCTATTTTAAGCGCATACTGGGTAACAAATTGCGTTGGGTGTATTACCCCTGGCTACTAACTAACTAAATGGTGTTCTAAGAAATCAGCTAAACTGACAGCGCAGTTGACGTTTTCTAAGTCCGGAGTAGCAGTTACAATTGTACTGAGAGTCGGGTTTCGGCACAAGGGAATGTTCAATAAAGCGTTTGCCTGGGAATAAAGTAAGCTCTTAAACACAACCTGATTGTGAGCTCCTTAATAATTAGCCTCATGTGAAACGATCTAAATCCGATGGCATCTTTCACTGTTCTATTTTAGGTTTGGTCTCAGGGTGATTCTCGTTTAACTGCTTAGATCATCGCCTGTTTTACCATCAGCCTATTCAACTGACATTTCTTGTTCCTGAATTGACGGCACCGCCATCCTTTTTCAAGAATGGACTGCAGCTGCCAATCTGTTAGTGGAGCCGTGAAGAAATGACTCAACGGATTCATTTGTTGATGCATTTTTGGATTTTGATATCGACGTAACACATGTTCTTGTCCTAACATAGTTCCATACAACCGCTTAGAAACTGCTGTGTGTGTAATAGTGCGAACAAGTCCACTTGGCTGACTACGTGGTAGTTTTCTGATATTTGACTTATACTACCGTCAAGTGGCCGAAGAGAGATAGCTATACTCAGCTAAAATGCTTATTACGGCAGGCGAATAATCTTAAACGCTAGAAAGTGTAGTGTATATCTTGTGAATTGCAATTTTCAGACAGTGTGCTGATTTTGTGTAACTGAAAAACAAGCTGCAGGTCATCAGAGTCGGTCAAAATACACACTAGTGAAGGTAGACTCAACTCAGTCAAAAATTCGTCACCAGACAAACCACGCATGCGCGAAACTGGAGTGGGGTTATATATATCTATATGTATATATATGCATTATATATATACATTGTCGTACGCTACTTTTATGGTTTTCCTATAACTTCACTTGAATTAGAAAAAATCATAAGCTTGCACTATTTCTGCGTTTTTGGATTCGCCAGTGGTAAAAAGGACGTATTCGGCTTTTGGAACAATATCTGTTGCACAATGATCTTCCTGTAAATAAGATAACTTTCTTTACGTACTAGTCATCCGAACCTGGACAAAAGTGGCAAAGTATTTACAATAGTGTGGTGAAACAAATGCCGGAACTACTTCAAGCTCACATTAAAGCCGAACGAGTATCCTGTGAGTTACATTGGTCATTCTTCAAGGACCACCTTCGGAAATTCGTCAGTATATGCAGGCATGTCTGCATCACGAAGTCTTCCGAATTGGCACATGCCCAGCTGATACTAAAGGGCCAAGAAGCATCCTTAAGTTTGTATGAAACACTGCCTCAACCAGTTTCTTCCAATGCTGGTTCAACAGAGCATGGCTGACCAATCAGTTCTCCAGGAAAATTATGTGCATTTGTCACTCTTCATCATGTACTTAAATTAAAACAGACACACCTAGTCACGGACAAGCTGAATTCCAGTTTTTCCTAGTTTGTAAAATGCAAGTAATAATTCATTTTGTCACAAATTTCATTCATATGGGCATAAAAATGGCCAGATTTTGCATGAAATCTATTCACTCTCGTATAATACCAGTACCGTTCTCATTTTCTACGCTTGTATGCTTTCCTTACCCGTTCACCTCTATTAACAGTCCCTTAAGTTTCATGTGTGCTTCTTTAATTCGTTTTCAGAGGAGAAATCGGTCTGCGACTCATTGGAAGCTGGAAACTTAGGATGGGAGTTCCAGAGCGGCGATCATTCGGCCAGGAACTGCGTGACCACGTCCGTTCCGCTAAACACGCAACCCTTTGTTGACTACGTTATTTCTTGCTTGACTCTGGCGCAGTTCACGCCCAGAACGAACTGTGCCTGTGTGTGGTACGTCACGCATTCCGAAATGTGACATTACGCTGGATGGTGTGTGCCTAGTAGCCGCCTAGTAGCCGCTTCTGTCCGCTTGGCAAATTTAGCAGTAACTTTTAGAGGATCTTTTCCGCTTAGTTTCGTAAGTCTGTCGTATCACCTTGTCTCCACATAGCACCTGTTGCTGCAGCTGTTAGTCATTACTATGTCTAGTATTTACCACCAATCTCTCAACATTCAAGCTTGTGACAACTGCTCCTATCTTCCCTTTGTTGTTTGGCTTTACTTGAGTTCTAAAGAAACGAGATGTGCAGTTGCAGCCGCTGACTGTTGCACTTCTGTGGTTGATGTCAACACTGCAATTGTTTCAAGTTTTGATGACTGTAGATGTCCGACATCCACTATACAGAAGTTCATTTCAACTTCGCTCCTGAATTCCGATCAACGAAAGGCCGCGTTTCGTTGCAATCTGCGTTTGTGGAATCCGTAATACTGTGTCTATTCTATACTGACCAAGGAAGGTTTTTATCTTTATCATACATTCATACTTATAACCATGATTTCTGAGTAAACGTTTGGTTGTAATTCTGCAGAAATTTTAGCCCAAAACACGAGGACACACGACTAGAGTTATTCGTCTACAAACTATTAGTAACTTGACGTTTCGGTTTCAAAGATTTTCCATTAGTAACTTACTTTCTCTATGGTTCCAAAACTCTTCCTTATTATCCTTGCATTATTGTTCCAAGCTTGTTTCCTGCAACATCCAACGCGCTTGTCAGTTTGCTGTCAAAAGGTTACGGTTGATGTGAACAGACTGAATTAAAACTTTCCAAGGAAGTGGGTTTGTTGAAAAAAACTAAATCACAGATAAACGGTCACCGTATGACTGAATTGCTTTTAAGCTATGTGCAGTCCAGTTCTGGTTGATTTGATTGGCACAAGCTTATCGATTTAAACGCAGGTGTGATGGGGGTGACATTCACTATGCCGATGCGGAGCGTCTCCCATATACAGAATTCACTTGCTGTCACAGAACACGAAGTGAAGGGTGAACGTTTTCATATTTCCCTGGTTGGTGTTGGAAGGTAGTTTGCTGAAACCAAAGTTGCATGAACAGGATGACACGGCGAATGACGTCACGGGTATTTTGGATTAGACCGTTATGCACTCGATTTGGTTGAAAATCTCGTAAATATGGTACGAAATTAGGCTACTTACTGGACATCAGTGACCAAGCACATTCATGTACCATCCTCGAACCGAATATTACTTTCTTACTAACCAAGATTCTTGGTGCAGTGTAACCTGCATTCATTTGGACGTGATACCTAAAGAAACGATAAAACATCAGAAGTTCGTGAGAAAAGCATGGGAGAGGGGGACACAATTCGCACCGGTATACGAAACAAAAACGAAAATGCCATTATCGTCACTCTTCGTAGTAGTAGAATTTGAATGCGGAGTCACTAAATACATAAACAGCAAAATTGCATGAGTGTTCTCCTATTTAGCTCTGATGGCACTGTTGCGTATCATGTATCGTCATTATCCTATGAGAAATGTTTCCGTGGCAGCGCGACCTAAGGCAGGTTCCCTGTAACATTAATAGGGCTGGTGCGCTCCGATGCCTCTGGAGGCATTTCTGACAGGAATATTAACACCCCGAGTTCCAAGATGTCAGAAAGTCAATCATAGAGTCAAAAAAGCTCGAAACACTATCTTACTATTAGGTGATTTGATGTTATAGCTTTACTGCGACTTTAAGTGTAAGGACAGTGAGTCTTTTCCACCAGACAACCGAAATTCCCAGATTTACGGGAGAATCGACGCAGCCTTTCACTAAGGAGGACTGGTCAGGAAATGCGGATACTGAAAGCCGCGTGCTGGTAACAATTTCAGACCAATGTTTCGGATATCCGGAATAGGTCAACCCTCAAAACCCCGGACAATGGCCAAATGAATCCTGTTAAGGGAGGATCATCACTCGACAGTTTTTGCTAGGAATTTGTAACAGTATGGTACTACCGGATAAGGAGAATAGTGGTGGAGCTGAACAGTGGATAAAATTTGTTGTCAAGGAATGCAAACCGTGTGATGTTCACATTTCGGTGTTGAATGAGACTAGCTAGTTGAAAGAAGGGCAAATGCTTAAGATACAGTTGGAAGCATCTGAACTGGAATTGCAGTGCGTAGTCTGCAGGAAGAAGGAGCTGGATTTGTAGTATGCAACAAAATCCCTTTCCGTGATATTCTTTGGGACGAAGTGCATCAATAAATTAATGATAAATGCAAATAGCGAGAGGGCGTCCTGGCATATCCTTGATCGCCTGCGCACAATTACTCATTCTTAAAACTTATCTACCAGCCAAAATTTATTTAAGCAATAACCATTAACTACCGACCATTTGTAAAAAGATAATTTTTATGCCCTGTTTTGGTAGAACTTCGGGACTGGGGAAAATACAATTTGGAGTTGGATCAATGAACGACCATAAAGGAAGCGTTTTCCAGTTTGCAGTTCTGGTTTAAGCCTGGAAATATTCAGTTAGAACAGGGACATATAAACCTATAAAAACATGGCAACTTCTTATTGTCATCGTTCGACAATGACTTCAAATTCATCCTGAAAAATGATGGAACGAAATTCTTGGAACAGAAAAACGGTTTGTAGCGGCGGGCGATGGAAAATAGAATAAGTCGGTGGAGCTGCAAAAGGCGCTATCCGGCTCTATGGTGATTATTGGTCGAAACCTCATCTGATTCGTAAACACGACAATGATGCTGGACCGAGAAGAGCTGGGTTATCAGTTTGACAAAACTAAATCGTCCTTTAATCTACAGCTGAGCAAAAAATGCAAATGTCAGTACGGTACCAAACAACTCGTCAGTCCCTGCCGCTTGAGAATAACTTCGGGTCACAAGAACCATCTTCATGGAGGAGTCTGAAGACAGACTAGAGATATTTTGGATGTGTTGAAAACTCGCTTCCGCAGCCTACTCAGTCATCCATCAGAAATCAGGTACAACCAAACAAACACAACTGACCAATTTTGTTAAACTTTCCTCCTATAAGGTACAGGCTAGTGTGCGAACTTACGAAACTGCGCCTGAAGAATTTAACATAAATATTAGGGTAAAATAAGGCAGTTTTGTCTCCACAGTTATTCAACTTTTATTTGATCGCAAAAAGTGGGGGCTTTGTGAATTTTAAACGATGATTCTGCTATTTACTACGGTCTGGATGGTGACCTGTTCGATTGATGCTTTCTAGCTAGGTGATTTTTCCTAGAAACAAAGTTCGATAGATGCTATCGTGGCAAATTCCTGGGCAAGATCACCACGCACAACGGCGTCAAACGCCTCTGAGGCTTCTATTTCGGTCCGAATAAAATTATTCGTCAACGCGTATTCTACGTCAACTGGCTCCCTGGGGACACCAAAAGTTGTCCAACATAGAGACGCATGGTCTGGGATAGCATGCTACCCGAGCCTCTGTTATCTTCAGGTACTCTGTCCGTCGACCAAATGATCAACGAAAAACTAGACTTGCGCAGACTAAAGACTGACATGGTATCAGGAAGACTGCAAAAGCGCTCTTGGAACTATCGGCACCCACAGTTGGACACGACAATTGTGGTGTATCTTCATACCGATATTTCTATTCTTTCGTGCAGCGGCAAAGCGTGAATGATATACCGGCGACTCATTCTTTACAGTTTCTGTAGAAAAATTTGCGTTATTATAAATTAGTTGAGACAATTAGCAGCGGTTTTAGTGTGTTTTTTGGTAGCTTCTTCTATGGAGCAATTTGCTTCCATGAAATTACGCTCTAGTCAAACTCGTGTTTTTTTCCTGACTTTTGTGCACTGAAATGAGAGAAATGATCGTAAAGGGAACCACTGACAAAGTTTCTGAAGATTCATCGATAGCCCACAACTGGTTTGACCTTTATTGAAGCTCATCAAGTAAGCGAAGTGAGCAATGCCCTTTATGAAAATGTATTGTGATACCTCGAATATCGTTCCAACTGAAACATGAGGCGGTCTTGGTTCAGAATTCAGTTGAAGAATATCATAAACGAGGGGTTCAGTTGAGTCTACCGTGAAAAGCAAAGCAAATTGCAAATGGGTGTATTTTTCAACCTTGTGTTCATGTATTTTGGTATTCGTTCCCGTTTGTTTTATATGTTGTTTGCCTTAGTCTCTGAATTGGTTCTTACATACGGCGCTGTTCTTCTTTATCAAATCTAACTTTCCTTTCGGTTTTGATAGTGTCCTCTGAAAAGTATTCGTGGATTTGTAAGCAACCGTCGAATTATGTTGTTGTAAGAACCTTGCCGCCATTTCAGCAGTGTTCTTGACTTACGGCAGTGTGACTCGTTTGTTCCCGTCCTTTGCTGTTGCATTGGTCTTACTTGGCTTCCTGAGTGATCTCTGGATCAAATCTCTTGAGTGTCCATTTTTCCGGAACATAATGTACAGGCGTTTCTCTTCTTTAACCTTGGATTCTGTTATTCCGCAATGTTTCTTGGGCCGCTTGAAAAGCGTCGGAATACAGCTTTGTGTTTTCGAAGTTTGGGTGGTTCCTCTGGTAGTAAGAATTGGATTCGTATGCATCGTCCTTCTGTAAGCATCAGTTTGTAGCTGTCAGTTGGGTAATCTAGTGATGAGGACATCCAGAAATGCCGATTTTGTCATTATCTTCTTCGATTGTAAATGTGACGTCGTTGAAATCGCCGCTGAATGGTTGGCCTACTTGTTGAGGTTCACTCGTTTCGATGATCACAAAAGTGTAGTCCATGGAGAGGATCTATATTTTGGGATTTATGCCGGGCAACGCGGTTTGTTCCAACTTTGGCACTGTAATTTATTCAATAGATCCTGAAGTTGGTCACCCCATGGGTGTCCCCCAGTGGTTCCTAATATTCCCCGTTAAACTCGAAATGTGTGGTAACTCAAGAAGTCGTCAGAAGTATTCTTTCTCCAGCGATCCATTTGGGATGCTGGTGTTATCCAACAATTTGACCACATTTGTCGTGGTAGAATGGAGATCTACGGATGTGAGCACACCATTATTTCGTTCTGATCACAGTTTACGTTCTTCAGTTTCCATACAAACTGTCCATCATTATTGCTTGAGTATTGATTCGTTGAGTTGAGTTCTTCAAATCGAACGCAAGGTTTTTTTGGAGGAATCAAGCAAGGGCGGATGAATAGTAGCTATAATCACGACAAACTGGTGGTCATTTTCGGCAGACGTGGTCTGACCTTATCATACTGTCATTACAAACTTTCTTTTATTTTATCGCCGTGATAACATGAATGTATGCGCACCCATGCGTTCCCTCATTTACATATGGCATGTCGATTTGCTGCTTTGGGTTTAGTTTGTGCCTCCCTGTTCTGAGTGGACATCAGGAGAATTGATTTTCTCGCTTGTTTTGTAAGACAGCCATTCTCACGATCAAGACTACTGCTACCAAACCTCCTTCAGCTTCTGGGGTCATGTCCTTATTTTAAGTTGTGATTTTCGCGATAGGTTTAACAAAAATCTACTTCACATGACAATATTCAAATACTACGTGCTGAAACGTTGCCCAGCGTTTCCCCTTGAAGTATGTTTCTTTATGCATCACTGCTGGCTGTGTAAATTTTTCATATAAATATCATGTTTCGCGCAAGGGAAATCACTAGGACTCCTTTGATCGATGCTAATATGTTAATGTCGGCGCAATATAGCAACGGACCAAAAGACAATTGAAGGGCCACTCTTAGACAGAGAACGGGGCAAACGTCCTTTCTGTGAGTTGTTGTCTAAATCAACCATTCCTTCTCTGTCCCTTTCGCCGACCCACATTTCACCAGTGTCCACCATCTACGTCCATCAACAAAATTTTGTTAGTTGATGACGAACACCGGACCAAATGGTTTCAAATTATTCCACCGTGGAATACCTAATTTGGATAACCACGCCGGCTCTATTCAGCAAATTGCTATTTCCGGTGTAACATCATAGTAAACTGTGACTGACGTAAGAGAAGCTAGTTGGACTGTCTCAAACGACAAGTACTGACAGATCATCTTTGCCTCACCTCAGACTCTCACTAAATTATTGTCCTAGTGTGTGCAGAAAGACACAAAACCGTGGTGTTGAACTATATTGTACTTAGTGACGAGCAGTTAGTTTTCAATACCACGACTACCACAGCATACTCTCGTTAAAATATTACCGTCTCGACATCTTCCATACGTGGCCTAATTTTGTTTTTAATGTTCCCTATTTACACAGTGCTTTTGTGGCAACCATCTTATCCAGGCAGCGATACTTTTATTGACAGTCTCCTAAAAGTTCATCTAATCATAAAACGCGATCATATCTGTGGCTGTTCCTCAACCTGTGTCTGTGACGCAGTGGTTTATCAGACAGTGGGGTGATGAATGAAAAATTATAACATCTAATAACTATTATCCAAACATTAGGCAAAACCTGAATGAAACAGTCTTGTTTACGCGTTTCATTTTGATCAAACAAGTGGTCCGAATAAGTCCATCTTATCTGACCTATTCGATGCCAACAAACATCAGAACAAATGTGTCGCACAACAGAGTGGAATATAATTATCTATAGGAAATGTGCAACAGGCTCCGCGCGTAAATACGTTCTGTCCTTTGCAATAATGTGTTTGTGAAGAAAATGAAAATCCCGGTCGGCTATCAGTGCACGTGGGAGGTTTCAATATACGTAATGAGCACGAAACAATACGGATAAGTTTACCTATAGATTGTCACAAGGCGAAATCTGCCACCACATCATACAGTCATCAGTGACTGATTCCCCACCAAAGATGGCTACCGAAACCTGACAATAAATTGTCTGTACAGAATTATGTTGAGCGTGCCAACCCTAAATATTTTGTCTCCACATGACAGTGCATATCAGAAAACCAGCATAGTTTAAAATTGAGTTAAAACAATCTTCAGGTGTTAAGTTCAGATGCGCTCATCACAATGGTTGTTTGGTGTAATGCTTCAAAGCAGTGATTCACACTTGGTTGCGGGTAGCGCCCTTCCATAAATCTTGGATCACCCTCCTCCTCTTGAGTTTGCTGACCCTAAAACAATGTATCTCAGCTAACAGAAAAACGGCATGTGATGAAGATGCGGAGCATGGTTAGACAGGGGGAGACTGATACTATGCTATCAAGGAGATTTACGCAACCTTGTGAGGGTTATTTTGTAATTTGGGCTGGTTTCATCAAAGTTTGAAAAAATATAGCACAATAAGACGTCAGATTTTCAATGGGGATTTTGTCCTCTAGGAAGTCACTCTATGCTGAGAAACCCCGAGGCACTATACAGCTGCTTCATCCTTACTGGGAAGCGCTAACAGTGCGCGCCTCAGGAAGTTACAGTGTCTCTAACCTGCGACCTTCCGGTTAGTAGTTTAACCGAAATTGTTCGGCCATGATTTACACAGGCAAACCGATGTAAATCATGATGTCTCATTGATATGCAATCCCGTTGCTCCAAACTACGGAGCCCATCTCATGGATAGATGGCGTTTTAATGGAGTTTAAATTAAATGATGTGAATGATGTGGTAAGTACGAGCATTGTACCGAACATGCGGTCTATAACCGAAAATAAAGGTAACCGGAGATAAAGCTCACTGGTTCCATAAACTGCTGGTAACAATTGCAGGATATTTTCACCTACCAAACCCCACAATCGATGGGACTTCTAAGGCCACCAACCGTTTGTAATCGATGACGACCAACAAGTGCACATTTTGTAGTATACATTAGATGTGACATCTCATAACGGTAGCATTAACATTAGCAAATCGGTCGTGGAGTAAATTATGTCCAATTACGCGTAACTTGAGTAAAACGGTCTTAATAAAACATATTTGGCATGCCTGCCATGAAAATCTCAGTAGTTAAATGCTACAATCTAACGTAACACGCACTATTCGAAAAAAAACAACACCGGCGAGACCAGATCAGCGTCTAGACCCAGATAAGCATAACGATCAGTTGGTCGAACTATACATTCCCATTTCCTTCCATGCCATATTCGACTATACGACATTATGTGACAACTTTCTACCTGTCTGGTCATTCTATTAACGGGATTGATCGTAAAGATGTGGGCCGCCCGGTCGACGTATGCAAGAGGAGACAGAGGATTTCAGAAATATTACCAGTCAGTGGACCTGTGGGCATCACAGACGCCTACGTATTGGCAACAGAATGTCTTTCTAGCTCTCATGAGTTTGCAGCGTCTGGACTCCGAGTAGAACCTAGCGGGAACGTGGACAGCAATGTTGTTTAGCGAACAGGAATTATGGCAGTCCATTTTGCAAACCGCTGCTCTTTCATTCCCATCCAGAAGGAACCAGTTCACACTATACAACTGCGCTTCTGCAGCCAGGAAGAAAACGCCGCTGTAATCACCAGGCGACAAACTAAGAATATGACAGTTAGCAAGTGGCATTTTCAGTTGCTTCAACCATCAGATGAACAGGATATACAACAAATATTTAGCTTTCTCATGCAATCAGCTGCTAGTATCTCCCAGAGAATCCTTGAAAATCCTCATCCAGTTGCAAATGACTATTTTATCGCGTCTATCAATTTCACCGTGTTTCTACAACGCTCAACAGTGAAGCGTTAGATAGTGACAGTGTATTTAGTACGAAACACCAATAAAAACTGAAAGTGTTGTTTTCTTGAATGGTCAAGCTGGATCCACAACATACAAATCAGATACCAAATAATTTCATCCTCATGCAAGCCAGGATTAAGCTCAGTAAACAGGGTATTGTAAACACGACGTTACAACATTTTATATGCTAGTGAGCTTAAATTCATGAAAAACCTCAAGCTTTCGAGAGATTGTCGGAAGAAAACTGCGAAGCATCGTAACAAAGCAGACATTTCGTGTAGATAAAACAAACGGTTGAATATTAATACAACTTTAACTGCATTCACTCTCAAATAATGATACTTGTCTATGGGCTTGCCACAGTATTCCACCAAAGGTCAAGCATGTTCTAGTGTAGCGCGATATCTCGAATATTGTGCCAACTGGATCATGAGGCGGCCTGTGTGCAGCACATTCAGTTGAGTCTCTCGTGAAAACCAACTTGATTTGCAAATGAGTGTATTTCTCGAAACAGTCCAATTCGGGTTCAAGTAGAACATAAGGTTGACGGAAACTCGGGGACTGTGCCTACCAGATGAGCCCCAAGAAGGGCGAAACCGGTCGTGGGCTGTCGAGAAGTTTTCAGCAACCTTGTGAGTAGTCTCTTTTATGAAATTATACTGCGATGTCTTGAATATCGTGCCAGCTGTGTGCAGCGCATTCAGTTGTAGAATATCAGAAACGAGAAAATTCATTTGAGTCTCTCGTAAAAACCAAGTTGATTTGCAAATGAGTGTATTTCTCAGAAACTGATGTCATCGGAAATCGGGACTGCGTACTACGTCAATCATAGCTAGGTCAATGCGGCAATCTTTAACATATTACAATGGAAACTGTCGCTCCGCAGATTCATCCATACCATTTGTTAGTTAGTTTTACTATTAAAATGGGCTTCGTTGTCGTAGCTAGACATAAACCGTCACTCACCCGTTTAGGCAGATCAAACTCTGCAGACAGATTTGTCTGTCTGAACCATCCGTTCTATCGTCTGAAGGTAACAGAGACAGTTCAGCAGCAAACAGCTAGACATGCCTGGAGGCTGTAACAGAGTGAGAGGTGGAAATGTGTGGGTACTGTAAGGGGTTTGTTCACAGATGTTTATGTCACCCGTATTGGCATCTCGACAAAACCATGCACCGGTAATCGTTGAGGAAGTTTAACATTTTCGGTGAATATCTTGTGCAAAGTGACACCAAGACCACGCATGTTGTTATTTTCTATGGCAAAACACTGATTGGCCTTAACTGTTTGGACTGCGATTCGTCCCAACACTAAATGTCAACTCCTTCTTTTTGTGGGGTCGCTGAATGTTACCTATCTACAGTAATCCGCGCATGGTTTGAACTCTAGAGCTATGGGTCATTCTTATGGGTTTCTAACGTAAAGGAGTGCGGAACGCGCTTGATGCTGATTTGTGAATGAGGCCCTTTGTAGTCTAGGGGGCTTGCCATTCTGCTGGATGTCATTCACATGGACTATTTCTTAGGTAGTTAGGCCAAATTTTCGGTAACTCCCTGGCTTACAAAATCTTAGCAGAGAGTTTGCTTCAACTGAATATGCTGCACCGAGTCACCTCATGTTTCAATGGGCACTATATTAGAGACATTGCGATACACTGTGTTTAGACGAAACACTACTCGTACGGTTGTTGAAAACCGGTCCTCAGCCCACGACCAGCATTCCTCTTAATGGGAATCATCATTCAGGCACATTTCCTGAAAAGAGTAATTCCGCAGGCTGTCGAAAGTTTTTCATCGATCTTATGCGCGAGGTGTTAAATCTTATCAGAGTCGGTTTGCATGAATTTATCCTCGATTCTCTAGGTAGGCAGATTTACAAGCCGCATATCTGCCATTTTTCGTGGTTCTCAGTGTGTTCAGTAATACCTCAGTTACTGGCAACAGCAAAGATCCACGATTCATTCAGGTAAAAACTGTAGGAGCGTTTTTGCTATCTGTCTTTGAGCCATCATTCAGGCTAAGTAAGTCTTGAGTAACCGGCTTTTCTACCAGTCGTGACCTTTGCTTTCCTGTGACAATCATTTGTCAATAAAGGTTGGGAGAATACACATTGAGATATGATGTAGTATGTCATCTTGGCAGCATTCAAATCATCTCAGCTCAAGCTACATCTACCAGTATTTGGTGAATTTTCAGCATTCGAAGAAAAGGCAGAGCCCCTAGTCACAGAGTAAAGTGCGAACCCAAGGTCTTCTACTGACAGAATAGTGTGTTGAGTCACCCACACGAAAAATAAAAAAAAAACAAAAACGCAGAGCGCCTTTATTGCCGACTCGAACAACAGAAAATAAAAGTTGCAAAAGTGCGAAATTAAGCTAAAATCTGGAAAAGACTCACTTGTTAATATCATAGCTAACTGCAAATGAATTTGCAGTCACAAAAAAAGTTTCTTAGAACTTCGAATTGACACTCATTTGCAAACCAATTTGGTTTTTCGAGAGATCACCTGGAACCCAGTTGAATCTCTCGTTTGTGATGTTCTCAAAACTTGTTCTTAGAACTTGTTCAAACATCACTGTCGTGTTGTATTCGTCGCTTGAAGGACCTGAACTTCAGTGACCAGCCAGAATAGCCATGACGTTCTTAGTTGTGTCCTGCTTCATAAATAACTACAATGAAACGATATGCCAAAACCCATAAACTCAGCTTGGAACGATATTTGGTAGTATTAGGAATATTAAACGACGTCACCTGCCATAAGGAAACAACACTAAAACAGTTTCAATCAATACATCTAGTTTTGTCTGTGAAATGGGAGGCCATCTAGGGGAAAGCGGTACGTAAATCATGGTTAAGAAACATCACAATGCAACAAATCACTCGACATAGCAGTGAGCGCAATAAAAAGACTTCCTACTGCTGACAGATCAACATTAATTATTTGAAGGTTTGATCATTCCCAAGCAAGCTTCCCTTGTACAGCAACATTCAAGAGTGAATACGGAGAACCATGTAAACGCTGATGAACCTGGCGCACAGATGGGGAAAGGGTTCACTCCGGTGGACTACGGTTCTCCGTACGTGGTGGCTTCGATAAAGTTGAGCCAATATGGGTTTATCTGGGAATCGCTCGCGCAACCGAAGATTCATGTAGTAAAGTAATCATGAATTGTCCACCTCTTGAGTTTTTCGTAAATAATTAATCGTGCTTTTTGATAAACATGCAAATACAAGATATAAATTACAGATTTGAGTTTTCCTGAGTGTTTGCGAGGATAATGTATTTGAATTATAAATTCGATAACGTGTTTCTAAATACCCACATTTTGTTCACAAAATGTTCTCCCCTAAAAAGAATTTCTTCAGTATCTACACTCACTACAAGTAGTACAGACTGATAGGCGGAAAGCAGTCGTCGTCGTTGCATACAGTTACAAAAAACTGCAATATTTAGCGTCCGAGGTGAAATGTTCTGTTCAGTTATCGACTGTCAGCGTTCTCGTCAAAACAAGGAGTATCCCTTCCTTCCCTATTAAACTTTCTGCAAATTAGTCTTCCTGAATATCACGATAGATTTTCAGTGCAGGGATAAGCGAAGGTGCAGGAAATATTGTTTTCTTTCTTCGTTACCATGGACTAAACTATTGTTTTCCCATCAGCGATCTTATTCGCGGTCGTTAAGATACTCCACTTACTCTTGCTTCTCTGAATGACTTCCCTCCAAAGTGACAGAATCCAAAATTTGACAAGCGGGACAGTTTACAGCAGCGAAAATATCTGTTTATGAAATGACCGATGACCCCGGAATTTAATTCTGAGTATTGTGCATCAGTTACTTGCAGGGTGGTGATGTTCTACTGCTTCTCAACCAAAATTGTTGAGCTAGTGCTGTTCTTCATGATTGAGAAATGACATCAGACACCTCATCATTCATGATTAGTTAGATCAGCCATATACACCTCCGTAGACGTACCGGTTAAAAGCACTTCTGTTGAAGTAATCGAAACACGCGGAGCAGATGCAGACACTTTGTGTGAAAGAACTTATGCACGACCCTAATTTGATTGCAGGTGACGAGCCGAATAAAGTGGTCAATGGGGAACGCACATTCATGTACGCCGCCTACTTATCTGGAACTTGTATTCATTTTCAAACTTTTGCACGCAACCTTAATTTAAATTTCATTAGACAGTATGATTTGGGTGCAACATGGATGCCAGCATCCATTTATTGGGCAGCTAAAGTTGCATGGGTCCATGGAAACAGACGAATCCCGGAACGGTGGCATTTCGCAAGAAAGTTTCAGCAGTAACAAATATGAATGCAACCCAGATGTCGGTTTCAATAGAAAGGGGACGCATACAGCGGGCACGTTGAAGAAGGGCTACTAAAAAGCCATGCGTTGCATTGACACACTAACTCACTCTGAGGGCATGCATGTCTGTGGGATTCGCTGAATACCGTGTGAGAATTACTCGATACATGAACCAATTAATACAGCATTCCCAAGGTTTTCGATGGCGGGGATAACACCTACATCACAGACAAATGAATAATTTCTGCGTAAGCAAACATGAAGAAATTCCTTTTGAGGATCAAGAAGAAACGATGCCAGGGGAAATTCAAAGAGGGGGTAAACGCAAGCTGCCAGCTTTGAGCCATCTTCGAGAGTGGAACAAGTGTGGAATCTCTGAATAGCGAGTTTGTAAATCAAACCAATATTGCTCCACAGCAAAGAAGCGCCATGATACGGTCGAGACTCATATCTCGTGAACAGGTGAAACAGTCTGCCGCGCCTATTCGAACCAGCATCACGAGACGATTCCTCTC